TATAAAGCATTGCGTTAAGCCCTTTATAATAATATATTGGGTGGGAATTAAGAATCTCTATATTTTTACAGAAGACTACAGCTTATAAATAATTATAAACTCACGAGAGGTCACATACCCAGTCCTTGAGTTGGGATTTTTATACAGTCTTGCAGCAGAGCCTGTGTCCCTCAACACCACACCATGGTGTGGTCCTTTATCACTCACTCACTCAGCAAACCTTACCAAGTGCCCACTCTGTGCTGGGCTCCTCTCCAGGTACAAGGACACAGCTACGACTGAAAAAAACAGAATTCCCATCCCTCACGGAGACCCACATGGTCTTTGAGATATACAGACAATAAACAAGTATGGGGTATAATAAAATATACTGCGAATGCTAAAAGAAAAGAAAACATAACGGTAAAGGACATATTGCCAACAATTTCCTTTAAAATACTTTCCCTTGCTTCAAACAACTTATCCCATCATTCTTGCCAGTTTCTGAAGCAGTTTTGGGAAGTCCTGTTTTGTAATCTCTTTAACAAGATGTGACCTCAATAGGACCAATGCTCCTGCTGAGCGCCGTACAACAAAAAGGCAGCTCGTAAAAACATGGCAGTGTGTTCTCATCCACCTTCTTCCCCAGGTCTGGCACCGTGTGGCTTCGGGCTCTTCCCCAAAGTAAAAATGAGCATGAAAGGTAAATGCTTTATATCAATTCAGAATATTGAGGCAGCCACAACAATCCAACTAAAGACATTCAGGAAGGAGGACTTCCAGAACTGCTTCAGAAAGTGCGTTCAAAGCAAGGTGGAGTGTTCTGAGGGCAATTAATGGCAACTAATGGCCTTTTACTGTAATAATTTTTTTAAAGTTTCAACGTTATCTTATTTTTCAATCACACCTCATAAAATGCAAAGATGAGTATGTGAAGGGGTAGCAATTCTAGAGAGAAAAAGCCTTAGGGATGTAGAAGAGAGAGGGAAGTAAAACTGGATGGTCTGAAGTCCTCACTGAGAAGGTGGCATGTGACGAAGCGAGGAAGGGAGAGGCCCAGGAAGTGACAACTGGAAAACAGCACCCAAAGAGGAAGAACAGCTGGAGAGAAGGCACAATACACCACGGCCATTGGTTTCGACAGCCAGATGAGATGGTGTCTCACAGTGTCCAAGGGTCCTTTTGGTTGTGCAGTAAGAATGTGCTGAAGAGAGCGAGGATACAGGCAGGGAGAAAATGTAGGAAGCAGGCACACTCCAGGGAAGGGAAGGAAGATGGAGGCTTGGACCAGGGAGGCAGAAGTGGACTTATAATCTAGACATATTTCAAAGAGAGAGCCCACAAGATCTTTGGAGGGACTGATTGTAGTGACACAAGATTAAGGGCAGATGAGAAAGGACAGCAAGTTTTTCTTGCTTGCTTCCTTGGTGACTGGCAACCAAAATGTTGGAACCTCTAGTGACCAGGATGGAGGGGACTCTTGGAGAAGGGGCTATGGATGAGTCGAGAGTTTAGGTGCTAAATATGAGACATCTGATAGAGAAGTCCAGGCCGAATGTGGGGTAGAAAGCAGGATCTGACAGTATGGATTTCCAGTGGTCCAAGGTGCTAACTTTTTGATAGATAAGAGCAGAGAGAAGTTATTTAAAAGCAAGTAACAGAGGGATTGTGTATAGATTTAAAATGTAGCTCTGAGATTAAGATCTGAGGTGTGCTTTGTGAACAGGCTAGGGCAGTCATTGAAAAACTGTCTCCATTTTAAGGACCGGAAGCAAATGAAGACTGTTAATATGATCCATCTAGGTAGCACACAAAGCAGGTTAATGATGCTCAAATCGCCTGTTCCACCATTTGTCTATGGAGAAAGTTTTAGTGTCCTGGGAATTAGATAATTATAGATAGCTGCTCCCCTTCCACCCTCCTCTGCTCCCCAAATAGTAACATCAACATTCCTGAACCAACTCTGTACCCCGGGCACAGCCTGAGACTTGCATGAGCCAACAGAGATCAAGCTGGAACTACAGCTGTGCAGACACTGAGACTTTTTCATTAAATGAGTTGAATTTCATTAAGCTGCTTGATGTTTGAGGAAAAAGCTAAGTTTACACATTTTTGATTGCTTATCATTCATAAAGTTTAGGAACACAACTAAAAGTGGCCGTTTGTTTGTGATCCATCTGCATGAAAATGCTCTTAGAACATTTCTTGTCCCATGGAAAAATATCACTTCACGGAATATATATGCATCTTTTCTATACGCTTCACCCAGAGAAAAGATCTAGACCTGTACATTTATGCTTTTTAAAATGTTTTCACCATAAAGAAGTGCTATTATTAGAGACAGATATATTTACCATGATTTAACCATTACATAATGCATGCATGTATCTCATCCTGGATTATATTAAATAATATAATCACAATGCTGTGTATTTTCATTGCATACTGAGACATTATGTTATTGAGTCTTCTCAAGACCATCATTAAATAATGTTCGTTGTACAGTCTATAAAATTGAGGCCAAGGGGGTCAAAGGTCACCAGGCTAACAATACAAGCAGAACTTGGTCCAGTCTCCTCTTTTTCCAAACTTGAGGGAGCATTCCTTGACACAACAGCTGCTTACCATGAAATGTTGTTTTCTTGTTTAATTATAAACCCTCCCAAACATGGTTATAATCCACAGGCGCGTGTCTGCGTGCCATTAATAAAACCACTGTCATCTTGGTTCCTAAGGACAGTTACAGTTCACAAGGTGGTGTATTCACCACATGGTTCACTACACGACAGTGTGCACTTGCTGTGTGCCTACTCTGTGCCAGATATACTTTGTCTTCGATCTACACAAGTGTCTAGAACATGTATGTCACATGCTGTTCTAGGCTCTACGCAGCCTAGATCACTGCTGACGTTGCTGATGAGGACAGAGGGTCCCTCTGCTTTCCCCCCAAAGCTTCCTTCGCCATTCCATGCAGCCTCCATCGGAACTTTATTTTGCACTTTGTCAGTATGTAATCAGCTTCCTCTGTAAATTATATCACAAGAACATTTTTAAAAATTAACTATTGATAAAACAAACGTTAATAGGACCAGATTTACTTGATGACATCCTTGATCTTTTCCCTCCCTGAAAATTATAACCACAGTTTAATGGAGTTTCTCATATCTATTTGAATATTAACACACATAGAATGAATAAATCTTGAGGCCGGGTATTTAGTTCAGTGGTTCCGCCACCTGCCTCACAAGCACAAGGTCCCGAATTTGATCCCCGGTACCAAAAAAAAAAAAAATACTGTAAAACTAGAAAACAAATGCAGACGCCACTATATTTCCTGTCCTTCTTCTTCAAACATTAGTCCATAATATTGGCACACACACGGGAGTATGCTGGGTTAATTATAATAATATAGAAAAATAATTTCAATCACCACAAACTCAAAAGTGACGGTAACCAGTTTTTCACATAAATCACCATGTGTCACGATGTGGCATAAATTCTGATCCTCATGAATAATTCATATTTTGTGCATTAATAATGCACATCCTCTTCCTGTGCTCCCTGCCCAGAATCTCTATTATCAATTGCCTGTGTTGACATGATGGAGTAAGTGTAAAATTGGAATGCTTCTTAATGTCCCTTTCAAATTATGACACTCATGAGGACCATAAGGCTGTCAAAAATACAAAGTTCCCATTATAGGAGTGACTTGGGTGAGTCCTCCAGAAAACGATGCTCTTGCTGATAAGAAGGTTTGCACAGCGGAAAAGTGGTCCAGTGAAACTCCAGCAAAACTAACAGGGAATGAGTATCCTCTTACATTTCTCTCTAGTTATATATTTATGCATTCACAAAAGCACAGGAAATAAATGCTAAAACATGGCAACCAACAGGGAAAAAAAGAAAGAAAGCAGCCAAAAAGGCAGGCAAGACTTTTATAATAATTAGGGGGATTTCTCCCCATCAGATTCTTCCCTAGTTCCGTTAACTATTGTGAAATTTCTTTTCAGTTTTTAGTACAATTATCTGGCACACACACACACACACACACACACACACACACACACACAAAGTCCAAAGATGAAAATAAAAAGAGAAGGGCCCAGGAACATGTATCTGTAGAGAAAGGCGGCTGGCTCATCGAGCCCCTCAGACGTTATTACTCCAGACGGAACTGAAGGAAACTTTGCTCTCCCGTCTTCAGCCCCAGCGCCTGGCCCCGGTGCCACCACCGACTGAGGCAGCAGCACGGGAAGCCAGGCAAGGCCAAATGAGGTAGTTCGAAATTTTAAAAAATAAGAATCAGTCCAGTACGCTGCATCTCCCAAACGCAAACAGAGGAGGGTCGGTTCCGTGCTAGAGCTGGTGTCAGCGTCTGTGCCCAGGCAGCCTGGGGTTCGTTCGTTCTTCCCTGGGCTCAGAGGCACCTGCGCCACGCCAGGCACCGAGCCGCCCGCTACAGGAGCTCCCCCTCCCCGTGGGTCCCCAGCGTGCGGTCCAGCAACGCGAGCCCAACACCCAGGCCAAGGGCCAGGCGGTTGGACTTGGACCTGCACAGGAAGCTGACCCTGTCCAGAAGCGGGCACTGCCCAGCCCCGCGGTCCTGAGGAGGCGCCCGGCCCGGGGAAGCTCTCCCCGGGGTCAGGGGCTCGCTGCCCTTGCTGCACGGAGACAGCTGGTCCCCTCCCCGGCCAGGCCAGTCCGCACCCGGAAAGTGAAGTTGCGGGCCAGCGGGTCCAGGCCCACGGGGGCACCGGCAGGCTCAGCGCCCCAACTCCCATGACTACCGGGAAATATTTGTTTCCAGTGGATGGGCTCCGGGCGCTACCGCAGCCGAGCACGCGGCCACCGTCAGAAAGCCAAGCCATCCTGGAGATAAAGATAGCTCCATTGCGTACCCAGCTCTGGCCTTGCAGAAGCAGCCGGGAGCCGGTCCCGCTCCGGGGACGCTCCGGGGACGCTGGGCGAGCGCAGCCCACAGAAGGGAGCGGCCGGCGGGAGTCGAAAGGATCGATACTCACCCCGAGGCGTCTGCTCCGGATCCTCACGTAGCCTTGCTTCACTATGTCGTTAAAATTGGAAGCCATCCCAGCCAGCCGGCGACCCCCGAGCGGCTCTGGGGAGGCTGGGGCCGGGGCAGGAGAAGGAGCGGAGGGGCGGAAAGTTGCAGAAGCGAAGCTGCTGGGGCCGCGGCTCCGCGGGGCGTCAGAAGGCGCACATCACTTTCTCGGGCCCCCAACCCTGAAAGTGGGCGTCCGTCTGGCAGCCACTTTGGGGCGGCGAGGCTGGAGCGCGGCGTCAGCTGACTCCACAGCAGCCCGCCAGGAGGAGGAGGAGGAGGAAGGAGGAGGAGGAGAAGGACGAGGACGAAGGAGCCGGGAGAGAGGAGGAGGAGGAGGAGGAGGAGGAGGAGCAGCCGGCCTGCGGCCACCCGCGAGCAGACGCAGTGGATCCGCGCCCCGCCCGCTCTCGGCCCCCGCCCGCCAGGCCGCTGCTTCCCCTTCGGTCCGCACTGCCCCCGCACATCGCCCGCTCCTCTCCCGCAACCCTGGTGGCTTATTTTAAGAAGAAAGGAAATTTCACTTTTTTCCCTCGGCTGCTCCCCCACCTCTTTCTTCAGCCCCATTGCTTCCCCAGAAGGGCCGATTGGGTGTGCGTGAGCCCGGAGAAGGCGGGGTTGCCATGGGTGGCCCTGAGCAGAAGGCGAGGTCGCGGCTTCAGCGCCCCCCACCCCCACCCCGGGTTTTCCTGGGCATCCAGGATCCAGCCTCTGTGGTTTTCTTGAGCCTGTCTTTCCCGCGGGACTGTCGGGTTTACCAGGGGCTGAGCCATGGGCCCCTTGCTCTGCGTCTCCGAAGAAGCCTGCCTCCGAATAGCGCTCAATAAATCTCTCTGCTTATCACCATGGCCACCTGGGCGCTGGACCAGGTTCGGCCCTTTGCGTGGATTAACTCATTTAAACTCCCCTGTATCCTTTGAGGTAGGGCCTCCCTCGGGTATATCGAGGCCCATGTTTAGACCTCCATCGTCTGGCATAGCTTGCTCTCATAACCATTATGAGTGTTTAATGATGCCTATAAAATAAGACTGAAGGGGTGAGGTTTTAGGCTTTGTGTGGCCCCAGCCCTGCTCCTAACATTGTCCCATGCTTCTTTGGCAGAGGTGCTGTCATTACAAGGGGAGGGCGATACGTGAGTTTCCAGGGAAGATCTTTCTAATTATGTCTGCTGTCATCAAAGGCAGAGGAGGTCAGAAACTAGATCATCACTGCGCACTGGAGGTGACTAAACCAAGCCTGAGTGACGTTTGGAGAAAAGGATTCATCTTTCTAGTGGATTGTTTGATCTGATGACATCAGAGCCCTTTTAGCTCCAAGATCATACCAATCTGCCCCTGTGCCACTAGGACACTGGCTTTGAGGGACCTAGCTTGAAGCACGTCGGTGGGTCAAAGAAGAGAATCATCCAAGAATGTGTCATAGGGGAGCTGAGACTAAACTGGGGCAATCAAAAAGCAACCATTCTGGCAGAGGACACAGTTTTTTGCCATGTAGTAAACCATCTGCTCTGTCTTCCTGTTGCCATTCTATGAAAAATGATGTTTTAATTTTAAGTCTCACCAAAAGAAAAGTAAATGGTAAAACCATGTGGACCACACTTTCTGAAGAGTTAGAAAAAATGCTGTCCATAGTTGCCATGGAAGAGAAGTATTCCTGGAAGACAATTGTCCAACACATCTTTTGCACACCACATCTACAGTATCATAGAAACAAAGAATAAAGAAATGAACATACCCAGGCAGCTGGAAGATGCTCACATAACAGAAATAATAACAGAAAAACAGGCTGAGGTATCCATCCTTCCATGGTGAATGTTGAGGTTAATAAGCATCCATAAATTATTAAATCAGAGTGAGGACATTAGAATCACACTAGAAAGAAACTAGATGGAAGGAAGCAAATGATTATTTTAATTGTGAGACTGAATCCAGTATATGATTTTATTCATTTGGGAAAATCGAACTGATATAGATGTAAAATACACAGACTATGATATGCCATTCACAGAACAGCCACTTAAACATCTCCAAATTATGTAACACACAATCGTGACATTATTAGTCAGATTTTCATCACTCTAAACAAATACTTGAGAAAGTCTATTTAGAGGAGAAAAGGTTGGTTTTGGCTCATGCTTCCAGAGGTATCCGTTCATGGTCAGCTGGTATCAAAGCAGAAACATTACGGTGGAAGGAAAGCTACTCACCTCATGGAGACAAAGAAGCAGAGAGCAGGGGAAGAGTAAGAGAGGAAGAGGCTAGGACCAGATACAGACCCCAAGGTCACATACCCTAATCCACCAGGCACACGCAGAAGTGTACTTTACTGATCCCACAGGTGTCTCTCAAGCCAAGTTGACCGGCAAAATTAACCATCATGGTGACAGAAAGGGAAAGGAGCAATTCATTGAGATACACAGTGTACTCGAACTTACAGAGCCACACAATGCACAAATCGCAACTATACACTGTCAAACAGACATACTTCCACATACAACTTAGTTTTACTGGAGATGGATTTGATCTAAAAATTCATTATTTACATCTCCTTTTTTTATTTAGCTTTCAACACTTAAGACTTCTAATTTTCAGTATATATTTCCATTAGCTTGATCAGCATCCAGACTTCCTTCTACTAGTGGCCCCCATTTTCACTTGGAACATCCCAATCCCCTTCTCCCAGATAAGTGTGTGGTCCCTAGGACAACTGGTGGCTGGTTCAGCTGTGGGCACACAGCCTAAACTGGCTGGTGAGAATTCATTGGCTTACTTTTGCTGAATACTGGGACAAAAACACCCAATCTGTTTGCTGAAATAAATTCAGTGCATGATGGAAGCAGCCAGGAGCTTCTGACACCTTCTGGAGACCCTGGGGCAGAACTCCTCTGGGGTGGGGTAGGATTGCCCACAGAAGCAACAGAACTAAGAGAGAAGCACCCCACGAACACTCTGTGTTGAGTAGATGTTACACTGGTTTTCTTAGTCACTTCCTTGCCACTGGACACAAACCCCAACCCCCACAACTTGAAGGAGGAGAGGCTTGTTTTGGCTCACAGTTTCGGTCCATGGTCAGCTGACTCCAAGGCAGAAACAGGATGGAGAGGGGCCTGGTGGGGGAAAATGTGCTCAACTCATGGCAGCCAGGAAGCTGAATGAAGGGAGGAGACCAGGACAGAACACACCCTTCAAAGTTACACTGCCAGTGACCACCTCTGACCAGACCATGCCTCCAAACAGCAGTCAGCTACAGCGCCCCATGATCCAGTTGGCTTCCAAAGCCCCACCTCTGAGCACATAAGCCTTTCAGGGGACATTCTAGGTCTAAACCGTAACTCTGGCATAAAGACAAGACCCTCAAATGCAATGACTTAAGTTGCATAAAGTTCATTTATTCCTCATTTAACAATCCAGTATGGATAGGGTGTCCAGGGCAAGTAGGAAGCTTGATCCTATAAGGCCATTCAAGGTTCAGGCTCTGGGATCAGCTCTGACTCCTTGGGATATGATTTCCACCCTGCAATCTGATAACTTCCTTATCCCAGGAAGCGGAAAGAAAGCCTGGAGGGAAAAGAGCCTCCCAGTGAAAGGTGATAGGCATGTTGCAAATATCTTTCTCTGGCATCCTGTGGACCAATATTTTACCCCATCCCAAAGGAAAATGAAGAGTGCTGAGGCCCATCTCTATTTTGACTTAATTCTGTTACTGCAAGAACATTTTGAATTGATAAGGACTGGGTCAGTTGGCACTTTTTACTGTACCAGTGCCACCCCCGGGCCACTTAGTTCCACAAGGGATTTCCCTTTCTTGTTTAAATAACCATAGATCCAGGTATTCTGTCCCTTGCCACCAGAGGAGTCCTGTTTAGCTCAGCACTGCATTGTGACTTGAAGCTTCAAAAATCCCAGCTAAACTTGATTAAGTAATCCCTGATGACTGGAGAAAGGTCCAAAATTGTCAGTGGCATTTTCTAAGAGAAAAAAGCCAAGAAAGGAGAAAGTGTTGCTAGACAGAGCTCAAACCAAGCTGAGATTAGCACTGCCTCTTGGATTTCCCAGTGAGCCTGTTGGTTTGTTTGTTTGTGCCCTTTTGATTAAAGCTAGAGACAGCACACTCTCCAGGGCTGGAACTCGGGGAGGCAAGAGAAGCACTAGGGCATGATATTTAAGGAGGTCCTCACTGTCAGGGCTGTGCCTCCATTTACCAGACCCTGGGAGTGCATGATTCCTCCTTTAACTACACACTGTAAGTTTTCAACTGCCTTGTGGGAGTGCTGGCCCCAATCCTGCCCTAAGTACAAAAGTATTAATTAAAAAAGAAGTGAGTATGTATTCAAAAAAGAACACAGATAGTAGTACTCTTCTTCTATGTGAACATCTCGTTGATATGATGCAAAACTATATCAAACTGTAAAATAGAAACCTTTGAATCATAGCTTTACAGAGCCAGAAATTAACACAAGGCTCACTTGCTCCACTGTATTTGGTGCAGAAATCTACTGTGGCCCAAACATGTAAACTACTCTTGCCCTGCCCTCTGCATCTCACTCAGCCAATTATAAAAATTATTATTACTTTTATTATTGAATTATTCAAGATAGAAAATGATGTGCAGAAGTCCCAGGGCTTCCACCCTCTTCCAGAGCAGGTGCCAGGCTCCCAAGCTTTACCAACCGAGTTTGTATTTTCACCAAGCACCACCCCACACCGAGGCTGTGGCTGGCATGGCACTCATCCAGTGCCCTTACCAAAAATAACTCAACCCCTGGCCCTGCTGCCTGCAGCTCTTGGTGGAAGTGTCACAGAAATACATGCAGCCTCCCTCTAGCAAGGTGAGACAGTGCTAATGAAACAATTTGGCTGCCACCAGGGAGGGGGAGGCTTGCTCAACACCAGGCCTTACCAAAAACAGAAAGACGACATGGAAGATGATACCAAAGCAGGTGGGGAAAACCTGGAACAGGTCTGCTTCCATTATTAATTGCCTCATTCCTCCCTTCCAGCAAGCAACACCTACTTATTCAGTGCAGGCTCTGGGCGAGGGTTGTTCACCGTCAGCATTCACTCACACATGCAGAAAAACAAGGCTCCACTTCTCTTAGATCTTATATCCCAGGAGAAGAGACCAAAACCCAAACAAATAAATACACAATTTAAACAATTTCAGTAGCAGAGATTAGCAGTGTGCTATGGTGGACGTCATAAGGAACCCCACTTAGATGAGAGAGAGACAAGACAAGGAAGCCTCATCTGAGGAGGGGACCCTCCAGCTAAAACAGGAAAGATGAGAAGAAGCTGTGGGAAGTGGTCAGGGGTAGCACATTCCAGCTAAAGAGGATGG